TTTTTCAATAAACAGGACCTTAGGATAAGAGCCATCGGGCAACAGCTTTCTACCTGCAGCGATGGCATCGTGCATAGCTATCGCAACGGACAAGCTGGCGGGACCGAAGCCGACGCAAATAAGATCATATTCGGAATCGAGGGCCGCAGGCACCAGGTACGGCGAGCTCTGAGCTGCTCCGTTGAGGAATTTGCGGCCACTGCTGCCGAGCGGCTCTTGAACTGTCTGCCTATCCGAATTCGCCTTGACATGGTGCGTAACCACGCCACTGCCATTGGTGCTGGCACCGTTCGATGAGGCGCTGGTGCCTTCGGCGTTTGGCCCGTTCGTAGGCAAAGTCGCGATCGACGTGGAGGTGAGGGGTTGCGGGGTGTCAGAAGTGGCAGGAGCGACAGGAGCAAGAGCAGGAGGAGCAGGAGCTCCAGCAACCCTGTTGCTGCCATTGCTGGTCAGCGTGATGGCATTTCCATTCAGCGCCACGTCGGCCGCACCAGTGCTGGTGATCATAACTTCCTCGCTGTGTGGTGACATGGTATCTCACTATGTAGTCTTCCGTGTCGCTTTTTTATTTCTTTTTTGGACACTTTTCGACTCTGGCTTTATTTTGACCAAACAATTCTGTCTTCTGTTTTCTATCATCTTAGTGAAATGAGCTTGCGGTGCTTGTGTATTCCACCTACCACAAGTTCCAGTTGATGGACTGTAATTTGACTTCCGATCGAAACGTGGGCGGCAAGCTACGCCTCGAAACTGTTCAAAGATCTGGTTATTTCCCCCCCTCTCGCTGTAATTGCTTTACCGCGTATTAATAGCTCCAGCAGGTGTGATCGACTTTGTTTGCAAGAAGAAAAGGTGTCAGTCCTGTTCAACAACCCGAGGTTCACCTTGCCACGTCTAAGATCTTGTCTTATACCAAGTTCAGTTCAGAATGGCTGGATTGGGGGTCACAGCCGAACAAGTACAACGCAGGTTCAAAGAGGAAGAAGAGGCTCAAGCTTGAAGAAAAGGTGGTTGTGAAGGAGAGGGTACCACGCCTGCCGAGGGACAGGGACTCAATTATGAGGGAAAGGTACCGATAAAGACTTCCGTTCGGCATTATGTGTAATAAGCCACGCTAAGCGACGGCATCTTCTCCAATGCAATGTGAAATTAACACAGAATTACTCGGCCCGGGGTTCTTCTCTTTTTCCTTACCCTTTCAAGGAACGCATGCTGGTTGGGGTCCGCTTCCAGCAGTCCAGTCGTACCGCATGACATGATATGCGAAACATGATGTGGCAGACAAGTATACGGAGCAAGTCACACCAGAAGCGTGCCACTAGCCCGAAGACCGGCAAAAATTGAAACGAAGAAGCGCGACAGCGGAGAATGCAAGGGATATGAGCCCACATGTTGTCCAATACCCGGTCGACCTCGCCGATGTCCTCACAAGTAACTCAGAAAGCTAGATCCCCAAGTGGGCGGCAGATGGCGTCGCGGTGGTTGCGGAGCGGATCCCTCCCAACAGCCGGCTGGGAATACAATTCGCCTCAGCACAACAGCGGTTAAGGTCGTCTTGGCCTAGGAAGAGTAGCTATTAGGTACGTAATCACACGAGCTGTGCCACTAGTCTTTGTATCGAGTACAAAATTGTGGAATTTGATCCGACAGAATACTGCAAGTGCTAGGGTGCAGGATCTTGCCACATGTTTAATCTACGATGCCGGGCCAGTTTCCAATGCGCCGCCAAGCTTCCAAGGTTATACTTGCATGTAAGACGGCTTTACGGCCTTCGGTCAGCACCACCAAACTATGCTGAATATTTTTACCTCCGGCTTTGCGGAATCGAATCAATGCCAAAATTATCTAGACTAATGCAGAAGTTCTTGGAAAATGCGCTTGTAACGGACAGGCTCAACTGCAACCACGTTGTGAGGCGGGACTCTCCCATCACTCAATCAAAAATGAGCAACTGCCAGATATTGGCTCACGTCATTGTTCCCATGATTCGGCAAACCTAGTAGCTGGTTTTAAGATTCCCAGCAACTTTTTCAGCCCTCACTGGAACCAAAACAGGGTCCAGTTCCACCTGAAGCCATGATCCAGAGGCCTGCTGTTGGCGGCAGGGATTTTTGATCTGACAAGATGGAAGAATTGCCAACGAATAAAAGTAACAAATGCGTTACATGGAAAGCCACACGGTGTGTGGCGCCGTTGACTACAGTCTTGCGTGACAGACTTTCCCCATCACTTAGCTTGGGGCATCGAATCGAATGAATTCTAAATAGGTGCCGAATGCAGCGATGAGATGATTATTAGATAAGATCTCCCGCCAGCTGCGCTCGAAGCAAAATGCGAGTCGTTCGAACTTACACAAGTGTCATCATTATTTTTTCGATGACACTTTTCTTGAGATGAGCAGGGTAGAGTGTCCCCTCGCCCATATCTTTCGCTTGCAGCACAATCATTGGCCAAAAAGCTTAGGCCAAACAGATTCCCGAAGTGGAGTTGAGGGAATTTATCTGATGATCAGATAAAAAAACGGATCTGATAAGATCCAGGCCTGTGCTAGTTCAATAGCCAAGCCGCCAGCGGCCAAGACACATAGTTGCTCGACTGTTCGACCGTCATATTTGAGCTGAGGACAATTTCTTTGTTTGCCCGTTTTTCCCGAACCTGGACGTGTGTCGGAACTTTCACCCAGCATGTCGCCTCCAACGGCCGTGGTGCATTTTAATGCCGACCTAGCAACGGCTTTGGCCACAGGCAATGCGCAGCCTACACATCACATCTACCCCAGTTGAAAAAAAAAAATATATGTCCCACAACATAGGCGCTACGGGGACAATAGAAACACAGGCATAGCACGGCATTATTGTGTGTTGCGCTGTAGAAATCTTGGTACAGAGTTAGTCCCGCCAAGTAAGAATGCCGGTTACAGGGAAGCGAAGACCCAACCTACCTCGACTCCGCACTCTAGCACCTCAAGGAGGGGAGTGGGGGAGCTGAGTACATAGCATGGGAGCAGTTCGTCCAAGGATGTATTGTTGACTTTCCACGCCTTCTGTTCATGTGTACTGGGGGCTTTTGGCCCCAATGGAGTCGTTCGTCTCTGCATGCCAAACTCAGCAACCACAACCGGGGCCTGGACAATTGAAGCCCCGTCGGATTTAGTTCGATAAAAGAGCGACTCCCTCCGAGTTCTTCCTAGGTCTATCCCTCATCTGAGGGTGCCGACAGGAGCCCCCCTGTTCGATCTGGGAGGTTATACTGGAAATATTGTGTTATAGGACGATTTTGACGCCCAGAACTAACACGTACCTGTGTGCTTCACAACGCTACCGTGTGGCTTGCTTCAGTTTGTCGGTTTGATGCGGCAGGACATGGCTACGCTCCGTGTCGAAGCCGGATTTCTGTTTGGTTGAGGGTATTGGTTGTTGTGCCGGAGGCGGACCCTGTCTTTTCTGATCGAACTAAGGTGTAGATGAATGAAAACAGTACAGCGATACTAGGGAACCGCGGCGAAAGTTGGACAACATGTTTGAAGCAGTTCCTTGGAAGATAGGAAACGATAAGGAAACAGAACTGTAATTCGTGCTTAGTGATACCGATTACATATTGTTCGCTAGAAAAACATATCCTATTGGTAAATTTTGGCGCTTCAATACCGTACTATAAAGCTGACGTGAAACATGGATTAACTTAGCTAATAAAGGCGATGGACCAAAGTGTTAGTTAGGCTAATGGAGGCTAAAGGGGGCTTGTCCCTCACCGCCAGGGCAGCGAAAAAGAATGGTAGTGTCTGGTGTGATCGTTGTGGGCCTCATCTGAAGGCTGTCGAATTCTCGAATACAGATGAAAGGCTAGTGAATGTTCGTTTCGGGGTAGGTACTAAGCAGGTCGCAGGGTCCGTATTGGGTGGAAGCTCGTGGTCGGTTGATCCGAGTTGGCCGAGCTGCTTTCAGAATCTCCCAATTGAATTGTGGTCAGATCAAACTTGTGTATTGGTAATAGCCGACCTGAAGGGTGATTGTTGGCTCACTGGTGCGGGACGACCCCATCTTAGCTGTTCGTCAAACACGTCTCGGCATGCCCTCCTCGGACACCGGGAATTCGATGGCATACGTATGGGAGGATGGAGTTGAAAATCTCTGCGAACCACTTCAATCTGGAAATATCTGCATTTTCACATATTCTATCGCCCCGGTGCCTCGAGCTTGGCCAGACGGCGGGTTCAGCGCGGCAGCCGCCACTAGCACGGGAAGGAGCCACCCAATCGACTTTCTTGGCTCGTCATTCCGGCATCACCATTTCGGGAATGACTTCGTCTCCAAGACTTCGACCCATTCTGTCTGTTCTGCTCATCACGCTGCCCATCACTCTATTTCCCCTGCAATATTGGCCACTTTCCGCTTCCACCTACCTGCCACGGCGTCAGGTGGACCGGACCGAGACAGGATCTCGCAGCCTAAAATTTTCCCTTGCAGACCAGTTGGAGCCTCGCTGATTAATTCGTCACTTCTTACAGGCCTGATCGATATCCGCCACAGATGCACGCGACTACCGGTGCAACCTTTCGGGCCATCTGTGACGAGCACATTGTCCGGCTTGCGAATAATCAAATTCCTCATTGGTTCCTTTGTCATGGTAACACGGTAGCGCCACCTGCTTTAGTTTGCTTCTGACGATACATCTGGGTACCTGTCAATCAGCTCATCAGGTCATCTTCACTTGTGCATCCACTCAGCAGGAGAAACGAGACCGAGGAACGCTCTTGGGGGCTGGAAGACGCAAATCTGGGTACTGCTGAATTACTGCGTCGTTCCGTTGTTCCGCTGCTTGACTCTTTGGTCTAAGGTGTATGTTTTGCATGATACTCGCGAGTAGCCCTTTATTGGCAGCACGCTGGTTTACTATTCACCAGCAGGGATAGACAGCACATCACCGAACTGTGGCATCTCCAACCATCAAAGCATCTTCACTCTTCGTATTATTTTGTTCATGAATGCAACATTATTAAGATGGACCGACATGAGTTATCAGTCTGCAACCCGAACCCTCAACGTCTTGCTGGACCACAATTGCTGCATCATCTAGTCACTAATCCCAATGAAGCAACAGCAATAGAATTCTTGTCTGGCAATGAACGAACATCAATATCTTACAAGGAATTGCATGATGCTTCCGACCGTCTTTGCCACTTTATGGAAGCTCTAATTGCAGAGTCCCGAGACATTGAGACGGATACAGTCATCCCCGTGCTAATACCTCAATCTCCTCATCTATACATTTCTCTTTTGGCGATACTCAAGGCTGGGGGTGCCTTTTGTCCCTTGAATGCTGATGCGCCCCCTGAGCGAGTCAAGTTCATCCTGAAAGATGTATCCGCCAAAGTTGTGCTTGTAACACGAGAGCTTGCCCACAGGGTACCTCCGGCATGCAATGTCAAAGCTATTCAAGTGGACACGCAAAACTTCGAATCCGAGCACAAACGAGAGCCGTCTTGCAAAGTAGACCCTGAAAGACTGGCCTATGTCATGTACACATCAGGGTCTACTGGTACCCCAAAAGGAGTTGGCTTAACCCATAGCGCGGCAACCCAAGCTCTGCTAGCTCACGATCGACATATTCCTCAGTTTAGACGATTTCTCCAGTTCGCAGCACCTACTTTTGATGTGTCTGTCTTCGAGATCTTCTTTCCTCTTTTCAGAGGCAGCACTCTCATCTCTATAAGCAGGGAAGAGATGCTCGATGACCTTCCTGGAGTCATGCGCCGAATGGACGTTGATGCTTGTGAATTGACCCCAACAGTCGCAGGAAGTCTCTTGAAAAAGAGGGAAGCCGTGCCAAAACTCAAGCTCCTACTGACCATCGGTGAAATGCTTAAAATGCCTGTTATACAAGAGTTTGGCGGAAGTAACACCCACGAGAGCTTGTTATGGGCTATGTATGGGCCTACCGAAGCTACTATCCACTGGTATGGTATTGTTCTTTAAATGGAGAGGATATTAGCTGACTCCTGGTTCTGAAACAGTACTCTGCAAACATCCCTTCCATCTGGGTCGTCCCCGGGCAGCATTGGAGTGCCGCTTGACACTGTGTCCTGCTTCATAATCAAGCCTGCTGAATCGGCAGACGATTCTCAAGAATTTACTCTTCTTCCCCAAGGTGAACCAGGAGAGCTTGCCGTAGGAGGCTTTCAGCTAGCTCGAGGCTACATCAATAGGCCGGAGCAAACCTCGTCTGTCTTCATTGACTCTCCCTACGGAAGAGTTTATCGGACTGGAGACAGAGCAGTCATGAAACCTGATGGCACTCTCGAATGCCTTGGTCGGTTGTCAGATGGCCAAGTAAAACTTCGTGGGCAGCGTATCGAGCTCGGGGAAATCGAGCATGCTGCGCTGAGAACTCTAGGATGCCATGGTGCTAGCGCTGCAGTGATCGAATCTCAATTGGTGCTCTTTTGCTCTGTGGACCAAGGCGTGGGCGAAGAAGATATCCTGTCTAGCTGTAAATCGTGGCTACCTCGGTATATGGTTCCAAGTGAACTTGTTATAATGACGGAATTTCCTCGACTGCCTAGTGGTAAAGTTGATGCGAAAAAGCTAAAACACGACTTTTCACAGAAAAATACGACCAAGAATATGGCCGTACATGCTTTGAATGAGCCCACAGCGCAGGAGAAAGCAGCACTGAACATCATTTTGGAGGCTTTGCATCGGCCCGTCAATATTGGCTCTTCGTTAACATCTGTCGGTCTGGACTCACTATCAGCAATCAAATTGGTTTCTGCCTTTCGGCAGAAAGGTTATGAGATTTCAGTTACCAGCTTGCTGAAATGCCGCACAGTAGCTGATTTATGCATCAACTTACAGAAGGCCCCTGAAAAATCGTCGCAGCGTAACGAAAGACATGCCCCGTTACTCGACGTAAGGTCAATATCTGAGCAGCACCCGTTACTAGCTGGCCTTAGCCAGTTGGTGGAAAATTGCATGGGATGCACGCCGTTGCAGTCGGCAATGTTGGCTCAAACAGAACACAATCCGGAGCTTTACTGCAACGAAATGCTTTTCGAAGCTTCATTTAACGCAACACCACAGGCGCTACTCAAGGCATTTGAAGCAGTTACACAATCCAACCAAATCCTAAGAACAGGCTTTCTCTATTGGAAAGGACAATACGTATCCATATTGTTTTCGGAGCCACTCCACGGGCAAATCACAGTACAAACAAAGTGTTGTAGGGGTTCTAACGTTCGATCTACGGTCGACATCTTGCGGCCATTTCTCGTTCAAATAATAGATCGGGGGGAAGAGATGTCAACGAATATTCTCATCCATGCACACCATGCAATCTACGACGGGTGGTCAATGGACATGATAATTGCAGATGTCTCGTGCATTGTCAAGGGAGGAGTCCCTGCATCTCGACCACAATTCAAGCAGGTTCTTGATTATTTCCAAAGCCAAACCACAGAAGAAGACGGAGATGAGTCCAGAGCATTTTGGACTAGTAACCTTCTTGGTTGGAACAAGATACCTTTCCCCAAACTTGTTGGTCAACCACCGTCTGACGAGATCTTGTCAGAGGAGGCCTTTTTGAGAATCTCTCCAGAAATCGTTCAAAGTATGTCTCTGTCCTATGGGATAAGTAGCCAGGTCATATTTCAGGCAGCCCTGGCGATGACATGGCAAGGGGTGGTCGGAAATTCGGACATCTTACTCGGTTCGGTTGTTTCGGGAAGGACTATACCCGTTCCTGGCATCGAGCGTATTATTGGTCCTTGCATTGCGGCAATGCCGTTGAGAATCGACACCAGTAATATGAACGCGAACATTGACGTTCTCAAGACTATTCAGGCCCAAAATCGCGCTATTATGGAACACTGCAGCGTCCCGTTGGCTGAGATTTGCAAACTCGCACGTCTCGCACCCTCGGAGTCAATATATGATGTCTTATTCGTATATCAGCAGTCCCTATATCAATGGGAAATGCAAAACAGTGTCATGGAACATGTCAGACATATAGACAGGCTCGATACAAAGCTGTTGGTGGAAGTTGAGCCTAGAAAAGACGGATATGCACTGCAAATGACGTACCATTCCTCGGTTCTCTCTGGAGAGTTTGTACAACTCTTGGTTGAGCAGATGAAGGAGCTTTGCCAGAAAATTGTTGCCAAACCCACGGGACCGCTCATGCTACCAAAGCATCTCGAGGGGTTGGAAATGTCGATCTGCCGCGAAAGACAGTGTGTCGAAAACGAGCCTGCGGATGTTGCAGCTTTATTCAATGCATCACTTATGCGAAACCCTCTTGCAGAAGCTATAAGATTTGTCGCACGTACGGCGGAAGGAGAATTGAAAGAGTCGATTCTATCCTATTCACAATTGAGCACTGCTTCAAACCAAATAGCTCATTACATTCGCGGCTCCGGAGCCGAAGTGGGCGATGTTATTGCCATCATGATGAATAAGTCTACTACGCTATACACTTCAATTTTGGGTATAATTATTGCAGGGTGTGCTTACTTGCCTATCTTACCCATTACACCAAGGGACCGGGTACGCGAAATTCTTCGACAATCGAATGCTAAATATTGTCTTGTTGAAGATAATCTGGCTTGTGCACATGAACTTCCCGACACAACCACCGTCCTGAACCTAAGCACTGCATCGCTTCACACCATGCCCTCAAGTCCACCATTCGTTCAGCCCGATCCGAATCGCCTTGCATACGTCATTTTCACCTCGGGAACTACGGGGGTACCCAAGGGCGTCGCAGTTTCGCAAAGAAACCTCGCTAGCAACATTACGTACTTGGATACTGTCTATCCAAAATCAGCCCAGCCCCGTCTCCTTCAAGCATGCTCTCAAGCTTTCGATGTCTCAGTCTTTGAAATATTCTACGCATGGTATGCCGGCATGAGTCTATGCGCTGCTACTAATGATGTCATCTTTGGAGATCTAGAACACTGGATCAGAAAGCTGCAAATCACACACCTCAGCTTAACCCCTACTGTCGCATCTCTAATAGATCCCAAAAATGTGCCCCGAGTCGAATTTCTTGTTACTGCTGGAGAGCCTCTGACCACGTCGGTACTTGAAAAATGGGGAAGTCTACTATTCCAAGGATACGGTCCGTCAGAAACGACAAATATATGCAGCGTCAAGAGAATGACCAGAGGCGATAATATCGAACACCTCGGCTGGGTTTTCCCGAACACATCCGTCTTTGTCATGGTACCAGACGGCCTAGATGCAGTACCCCGTGGCTGGGTTGGCGAGTTTTGCTTTGGTGGCAGCCAAGTCGCCAATGGCTATCTGAATGATACAAAACTGACGGCTCAGAAATTTATTGACCATCAATCATTTGGAAGACTGTATAGATCTGGAGACTTGGGTAGAATGCTCCCTGACGGATCTTTAGTCATCATGGGCCGACTCGACGACCAACTTAAGCTTCGTGGCCAACGAATTGAGGCGCAGGAAATTAATAGTATTTTGACAAGCACAGAATTGGTGACCGCAGCAGTGACCATACTGGTACAGAGCAGGTCTGGTCGGTCGAACCAGTTGGCTACATTCTATAAGCCATCCAGCGCTGTGTCGTCTTCAAACCCGCTGGACGTAACGAAAGGCAGTAACCAAATGCTTTTTGCCACTCTCAAAACGAAATTACCAGCATACATGGTGCCTTCCTATCTTGTTCCAGTACCGTACGTCCCAATGACAACAAGTGGAAAGGTGGATAGACGACACTTGCTATATTGGTTCGACAGCCTTTCAAGCGCTTATCTGGAGGACGCATCTCCGGCACTCAATCAACCCGATGTTAATGACAGTTGGTCTCATATTGAGTCAAGAATTGCAACAGCCATATCCGAGTCAATGCATGTTTCCCTGAATGAGATTGGACGATGGACTCCATTCCTTACCCTAGGAGTTGACTCGATTTCTGCGATCGAGTTAGCTAAGTCATTGAGAACGCATTTAGATTCTCAAGTTGCAATATCAGCAATTCTACAGAATCCTTCTGTTGCCCAACTCAGCCACTTCCTAGCCAGGGATGATAGCAAAGACCTTGCCGAAATATCTAGTCAGATGAAGACGTCATTCGAAACATTTGACAGAGAAGTTGGTGCCTCTATAGCCGACAGGATACAAAATTTAGAGGCTATTTTGCCCTGTATGCCGCTGCAAGAAGCCATGTTGATACAGGGTCAGGGAAGTTACTACAACAGAATACTCCTCAGGCTACATGTGTCGCCTAAAGAGATGAAGACTTATTGGATGCAAATGTCTAAGAGACACAGCATATTAAGGACATGTTTTATTACGACAGCCAACTCAAGGTATCCTATTGCTCAAGTAGTCTTGCGCAATTGGAATCTTCCTTGGAGAGAATTCGAAGTCACTGTGCCATCACTCGAAGGGGCAAGCCGGGAGCATCTTAATTCGCTTCCTCATCCTCTGGATTCTATGATACCTCCATGCTCCCTAGGTCTCATTCGATATAAAGGGTCTAATTTTCTGTCTTTTATATGTCATCATGCTTTGTATGATGGCATAGCAATGGAGAACCTGTGGAGAGAGGTTGAAGCATTGGCTCAGGGATGTCAGCTGCCAGACGCTGTATCATATCTGCCTTTTCTCCAGCATGCCCTTTCCTTGCCATTAGGAGTGGAGTCCTTTTGGCAAGAGCAATTCCGTGGATTTCAATCATCAACCGCCTTTGCAAGGTCAGCACGATCAAGCACGAATCAGAGTACAAATACTGTGTCCATTGATATGAGTTTCAAAGATATCCAGCGAAGAGTTAGATCTTCAGGAGTGTCGCTACTATCACTTTGCCAGGCATCCTGGGCAGCAGTTCTGGCGTGTATTTTTGATGACCCAGATGTTGCTTTTGGAAATGTCGTTAGCGGTCGTACGATTGGCGTCGATGGAGTTCATAAGTTGATTGCACCTTGTTTCAATACGGTTCCCGTTCGTTTCGACACGTCACGAAGTGCGCAAAACATTGACTTAGTCAAAGCTTTTCAGGAGCTGAATTCAAAGCTGCTACCTTATCAATTCTCCCCCTTGAAGCTTGTACAAAAAGTGGTCGGAAGTCGACGTCGGCACCTATTTGATACCTTGTTTCTTTTGCAACAACCTCTGAAAGACATGGACAAGAATGTATGGACCCTTGAAGAAGATGTTGGCAACATGGATGTTCCTATTGTGTGCGAAGTTATACCATGCCCAAACTTGAACTCTATTGTTGTCAATTTGCATTACGACATGGATATGATCACACCTGACCTCGCGTCAGTGGTCACGGATATGTTCAAGTTTATGATACGATCAATTGTATCATTACCTTTTGGACCGGTCCCAAGCCGATCGACTATCCCGAGCCACTTCTCGCAGGGCCTATCAGGTCTTGTGTTAAAGAGAGAAAGGTCCGATGATGATTCGATCGAGACGACTAGCAGCCAATGGTCCAGTCTTGAAATGAAGATACGAAAGGTAGTTTCCAACATTTCAGGCGTATCGGAGGCCGCCATTCGCCGAGAAACAACCATCTTTCAAGTTGGACTGGACAGCATTAACGCAGTTCAAGTTGCATCGGCACTACGATCTCAAAACCTACCTGTATCATCATCCGATGTCATAGAGTGTTCTAGCTGCAGCAAACTGGCATCTAGAATAAACCAAAACTCAGGAAAGCTGAAACAGGAGAAAGCTTGGATAGACTTCTCTGCGTTCCAGAACCAAGCAAAGCCATATGCTCTGGAGAAACTGCGTCCTACCACGGAAATCGAAGCCATTCTTCCATGTACTGCGATGCAAAATGCTATGCTAATGGCTTTTACGCACTCCAACGAAGCAAACTACCTCAATTTACTCTCCTTCAAGATACAGGGAAATGTAGACCTCAATTCTCTATTTGTCGCATGGAAGCTACTTCATGGCCAACACCCAATGTTACGTACTGGGTTTGTTCCCATTTCACACACAGACAGCACGTTCGCAATGGTCAGACAAAAATCCACTAGCCTAACGCATCCGATTACATTATTTGACGGACGGCCATTTGTCTTAGAGGATTGGAAAGCGGAGTGTAGATCATTCATGCTTGCAAACTTACAGGAATCACCTTGGAGAGTGGCCTTGGTGAATACCGGCTCACAGATGCTTATGCATATTGTTATGCACCACGCCCTCTATGATGCGCAATCTCTAGATGGCCTGTTCCAAGGCCTGTCCTGCTTCCTTCTAGGGAAAGCATGCACTTTCCCCAACATCGAGCCCGCTCTAGCGGACGTATTGTCGAGAGCAAAATTCGAACTATCAGAAGGGAAGAAATTCTGGGAAGAACAGGCTGCGCGAGTTGTGGTTAACAAGTTTCCCATAATGACCTCACTTCGAGAGCCAGTGGGAAGACTCACTGTTCACGAACACGTTTCTTCCATGGCGGTTGGAGAGCTACAAGAGGCGACCCAAGCAGTAGGCATATCCTTACAAGCTGCGTTACAAGCCAGCTGGTCACGGATACTAGCATCTTACATAGGTGAACGGTCTGTTATCTTTGGCGTTGTGCTGGCCGGGAGAACTTCAGACGAAACTGCTGACTCCCCATTCCCTTGTCTTGTCACGCTGCCCATCGTGACAGAAGCAGAAGACTCCAATATGGGGTTGCTGCAGAATATGATGGAGTACAATTCCAACCTATATAAAAATCAGTTCAACTCTTTAGCAGAGGTTAAGAAATGGCTAGGCCATCCCGCCTCACCTATATTCGACACCATCTTGGTATATCAGAAGACAAGTGGCCCACACTTAAACACAGATCAATGGAAGTTGATGGAGGACCACCCGTCTGTGGAGTATTCAGTTTCACTAGAAGTTGAGCCGCTTGGAGATCAACAACTTCATCTCCGACTTACGACCAGATCAGACATCGTACCACATGAGCAAGCGGAATTGATGCTCAAGCAGTTCGATGCTGTGTTGATCCATTTATTGAAGCATCCAAATGCGACGCAAAATGAGATTTACAAAGACCGGCAAAGCTTGTTTTCCATTACTCCTCCCAGAATACCTGTAATTGATGCACCGGTAGAGTTTGTACATCAATTCGTTGAGAGAAATGCTGAGTTACAACCTAACTTTCCAGCTCTGGAGTTTGTTTCAGATTTCGATGACACACCTTCTTCAAAAATGACATGGACTTACAAAGAACTGGATGATCTCGGAAACCGAGTTGCTCATTTGTTGTCCAATGTTGTTCGTGTGGGAAACATTGTAGCTGTTCACTTCCCCAAGTGTCCTGAAGCGTACTTCTCGATATTGGGCATTCTCAAGGCTGGCTGTTCGTTCGTGGCTCTGGATCCTAACGCCCCCAAAGCACGAAAGGAGTTTATTCTTGAAGACTCCAAGGCTGTATGCCTGTTGACAACGAACAACTCTGATCTACCATTTTCTCTCAAGGTACCCGCCATCGCTATTGATGAGGAAAACCTCCGATCACATCCATCCGACACAATTATGCATGACGAGGCGTTCACACCAAAAAACACTTGCTATTGTCTGTATACCTCAGGTACTACTGGAACTCCCAAAGGATGCGAAATCACACATGAAAACACCGTTCAAGCCATAATGGCATTCCAGCATCTCTTTCAAGGCCACTGGCAGAAGGATTCCAGGTGGCTGCAGTTTGCAGCATTACACTTTGATGTTTCTGTGCTTGAGCAATATTGGAGCTGGTCTGTTGGTATTACGGTTGTTGCCGCCCCAAAAGACTTCATACTTGATGATCTCACAGGGTCTATTAGCAAGATGGAAATTACACACATAGATCTGACACCCAGCCTGGCGCGGCTAATCCACCCAGATCAGCTTCCAAGTCTATGTAAGGGTGTTTTTATTACTGGAGGAGAGCAGCTGAATCAAGAAGTATTGGACTGCTGGGGGCCCAAGGCAGTGGTTTACAATGCCTACGGGCCAACCGAAGCAACGATAGGTGTCACAATGTATCAACGAGTCCCAATTAATGGCAGACCAAGTAATATCGGACGACAGTTTCCAAATGTCGGGTCGTACGTCCTTCAACCGGGCACTGATATCCCGGTACTGAGAGGGGGCGTAGGGGAGTTATGCGTGTCGGGAAAACTGGTCGGCAAAGGCTATCTTCATCGACCACAGTTGACGGACGAGAGATTCCCCAAACTTTCAGAATTTAACGAGCGGATTTATCGGACGGGAGACCTCGTGAGGATTCTTCATGACGGATGCTTTGACTTCCTTGGCAGGGCAGATGACCAAGTCAAACTGCGGGGGCAGCGTCTGGAAGTTGGTGAGATAAATCACGTCATACGAAACAATACCTTGGGAGTCAAGGATGCCGCTACACTCGTCATGAGGCATGGAAGTAAAGATGTCTTGGTTGCATTTCTGGTTGGAGAGGGCGAAAAGGCGTCTGATCTCTGCATTGTGTCTGATGAAGATGCATTGGGCGCCAAAGCGCGAGCATCGTGCCTCGACAGTTTGCCCGGATACATGATTCCTACATATTTCATTCGACTATCGCATATTCCGCTTTCACCAAACAACAAGGTTGAGGCCAAAGAGCTGAAAATGCTGTTCCAAAACCTCCTTCCGGACGAGCTCGTGAAGCTCACTGGGCGAGACACAACATCTTCAAGCAGCAAGATAGATGCAATTGTTACGAAACGTCTTATTGAAGCTCTGGCATGTTTTAGTGACTTGCCTACATCCGCAATATGCGAGACAACAAGTATATTTGATATCGGGGTTGATTCAATTTCTGCCCTGCAGCTGTCTACAGTACTAAAGCGCGGCGGGTTCCCCATGAGCACGCCTGCCATAATACTGCGCAGTCCTATTGTGTCAGATCTAGCCCAGTCACTTTCCAGAAGGCTTACCTCGACTAAAGAACGTGACGAAACAAAGGAAATCAAGCAAGTATTGCGAGCGTACCAGCAACGATATCGTACTCTTGTCTGCCGCGAGCTGCGGGTGAAATCTGCCGACATTGAATACATCGCACCTTGCTCACCCCTCCAAGAAGGAATGATATCGGCTGCTGTTGCAGAAGGAGGTTCTGATATGTACTTCAACTCGTTCGACTTTCACGTCAAAGGTGATGTACCAATGGACATTGTGCGTCGTGCTTGGGAGACGACCATCCGGGACCACTCAATATTGCGATCAGTCTTCGTAAAGTCAGTAGACGGGTATCTTCAAGTCGCTTTGCATGGAATTGATAATCTCTGGCGGGATTTGGTTGCAAGTGATGATGGAGATGTTGGCGATATCTTGGAGCAGGCAAGGTTGAGCTGGACCAGAGAGAATGCCCTTCATATTATATCGCCCCTGCAATTCATCCAGGTGAAAGGGCCTGGCAAACGAGCTCTCCGACTCTATATCTTCCATGGGCTTTACGATGGAAACAGTCTCAATCTTATGAACGAATATGCTTCGTGCGTCCATCTAAAAGGAAATCTGCCAACTCGACCTAGCTTTTTTGACGTCTTAACACACGGTCCCCTACGCAATTTTGACTTCTGCAAGCCATTTTGGGCCAAGCATTTAGAACATTGGCAGCGCTGTGAATTGCCCAAGATTTCACCGCTCACCGCCAAGAATGCAGAGATCATATCATTAACTAGACGCCTTACAATCAAACGGTTGGATGATCTTCGTCGCCAGCAAAACGTCACTCTCCAAACAATTGTTTTATCCATCTGGACAATCGTTCTCCAGACGCACGTCTCCAAGCCACTTACAACAGGCATAATCGTAGCTGGCAGATCGTTAGATGTACCGAACGTTGAGAATACTATGGGCCCCTTATTCAACACTGTCCCGTTTTTTAACTCGACTTTGAATGGTCTCTCTTGGGAGGCACTGGTTCAAAAATGCCACAAGTTCAACACCGATATTCTTTCTTTTCAGCATGTACCACTTCGGGATATCCAGAAGTGGTGCTCAGGCGGTCAATCGTTGTTCAATAATCTCTTTGCTTTCCAACTGGAGAAGTCAGAGCCGAAGGCTGACGCTGTACCATGGACGCTAATTGACAATGAGGCCACAAGACTTGACTACCCGTTAGCATTCGAGGCCACTCGAACAAATGATGGCCATCTTAGCCTCTATCTGGTTGCTCACCCAGATATTGCTGAGGAAGATACGTTGGAGCAAATGCTGGATCACTTTGAACAAGTTGTGTTGACAGTTGAACCTAGTACAGTGATTGCACCGCCATCACACAGCAACCTCAGCTTTCCCAATGATGCCAAGCCAGAAACTTTCAGCCCCAACGACTTCGTACCAGAGAAACTTCACTGGACGCCGGTTGGCTTAGCACTGAGGGATGAGTTCTGTGCGTTTGTCAATATTCCCGCAGAAGACGCTTCTCCTGTCACCTCAATACTAGACCTGGGAATAGACAGTATTGATGCTATCAAAATTTCCGCTAGGCTTGCAAAGAAGCATATAAAGCTATCCGCATCTCAAATCATGCGCCACCAGACAATTTCAGCGATTGCTGCTACTGCTTCAAATCTGAATCATGATGCTTTACTAGAAAGCTCCATCCATGCGGGCAAGGCTGAGGTTCAGTCTCGCCTGCATTCGTATATTCAGGGCCAAGGAGTTCATCCGAACAATTTAGAAATTGTTCTTCCATCAACAGCGCTTCAGGAGTCCATGGTTTCAGCTATGATACAATCGGATTTTCAATTGTATTTCAATCACGACATCATGGAATTGGATAAAGCCGTGAGCCTGAGCAAGTTGAGAGATGCCTGGTTAGAATTAATCGAGTCATCGCCAATACTCCGGACGGCCTTTTTCGAGATCCATGACAGTAGTCTGGACATGGCTTACTGCCAAGTTGTATATAAGCAGGCTACTGCGCCTGTTGCTATGCATAGACTTCCCGATGCCTCAAGCTTACAAGGCTTGATCAAGACGGCAACAGAGAGCGCGATCCGAGGTGAAGCGCGGAATAACCTTCTTCAAGTGTCTCTTGTTTCCACTGACAGTCAAAACTATATGGTTCTCTCTGTAGCGCATGCCCTTTACGATGGCTGGTCATTGACGCTCTTGTACGATGATCTAGCAAAGGCATATCGGTCCGAATTAGAGCCGCGGAAATACTCAGAAGTTCTCATGTCTCAACCTATTCTATATGAACATTCCGATGTAAATGGCTTCTGGGAAACATATCTGGCTAACGCTAGCCCGACTGTATTCAGGTCGGGCCACCATTCAGCTCCGCTAAATCCCAGCAATATTATCAAGAACGAGCATTTGTCATCAAAGTCACTGACAGAAATCGATCATTTTTGCAAGAAGACCTCAATTAGCCTGCAGTCATTGTGTATGGCTTGTTGGACAACAGTCGCTGCGCATTTTACGCGGTCGCTGGACACCGTCTTTGGAATCGTTCTCTCGGGGCGAGATTTTGAAGGTGCTGATGAGCTGGTCTTTCCATGCATGAACACTGTCATCGTCCGCTCAGTCGTACATGCGAATGTGTCTGGTTTTCTCAGATACATGGAGGCCAATCTTGCGGATATACGCGATCACCAAGGATTCCCACTTCGGAAGGCACAGACAGCCGCAAAACTCGGGGGCAAAGAGCTCTTCAATTCATTGTTCATTTTGCAAAAGACGCCGAATCTAGATGCTTCAGATTCCATGTGGAGATCTATCGGCGGCACATCCGAAGTAGAGTATCCGGTTTGTGTCGAAGCAGAGCCAATCCAGGGCCGACTTCGTTGGCGCATCGCCTGCAAATCAGATATCTTTTCACAACTCGATTCAGAAGACGTGATGGTCAAGTTAGATCAGGCTTTGAACTTCTTTCTAGACTTTCCCGACTCCGAAATTCTCTCATTTAGAGATGGCCTCGTTACTATCTGTGCATTGCCTCAGATAGCACTAGAAGAGCAGCCAGCCAACAGTCATACGACTGCCGTAGCTGACAATAACGGGGATGATGCATACTCGTGGAATCACACCGCTCTTCTCATCCGCCAGATCCTTTCAGATGTTTCATGCTTGCCTATCGAGTCGATTTCGCCCACGTCCACGCTCTATCACCTTGGACTGGATTCCATTAGCGCTATCAAAGTCTCCATGATGCTGAGGAAGGTCCAAATTGACCTCAAGCCACGGGAGCTCATTCGAGCTGATAGCATCAGAGAAATCGTCCGGCTAGCAGAGCTAGATCATAAAACTCAAAGGGAAGAATCTTTTAATGCTACCCAATGGAAGCTTCCTGCTTCGGTATCCCAAGAAGGCCTGCTCAATCTACACAATATCCTCGAACAGGATGTTGAGGCCGTCCTACCTGCCACTCCTTTGCAAATATATATGCTGAGTGCATGGCAAAATTCCAACGCCTCAATATTCTATCCCGAGTTCTGTTACGAGGTTATTGGGGACTATACCTATGACCAACTTGTGCAAGCATGGGATCGGGTTTGGAGACGCATCCCGATTTTACGTGTTCGTTTCATGTCAACTGGAGACATAGAAGTGCCCTGGATTCAAGTTATTGTGAAACCTAGTTCAAACTCCCCAGGTCACATGTCTGAGCCCTTATGGCGTTTTTCCGTCTTAAAAGTCGAAGACAGAGGTTCTTGGCTGCTGAGACTGAGCATCCACCACTCCCTATACGATGGCTTCAGCTTGCCAAAAATCGTGCAGCTTTACTACGAAGAGATACACGACACGGCAGAGGACGCCATTGCTCCCAAAATAGATCTCATAAACTGGCAGAATTACACGATCAGACCAACTCTAGAAGCAAACATTGATTCCAGAAATAAATTCTGGTCGGAATACTTGGCCGGGTGTTCGACGTCGCCAGTTTCCCTGATACCATATACAAGCGAGCGTGTGTCATATATACGACATCAAGCCTTCCTAAACACTAAGGAATTGCAGCAACTCGCATCGTCACACGGCATAAGCCTACAATCTCTCTTTTTGGCCGCCTATGCCAAGACCCTATGTGTCAACGTCGGAGCCCAAGATAATACACAGTTGGTCATCTTCGGTATTTATCTCGCCAATAGAGACACGGAGACCGACGACTTGGATGAGACATATCCAACAATGAATATCGTCCCTCTTCGCGTCCAAATCGCTTCGGGAGACAATTTGATCAAGGTCGCTGCAGCCATCTTGAAAGACTTGCAGCTTATTCAATCCAATAACAGGGCAACTGTTGGACTTTGGGAAATCTATAAATGGACGGGCATACAGATTCAGAACTTTGTTAACTTTCTTTCGCTCTTGGGTGATGACGCCGACCCAGAAAAACCTGGTCTCCTACGCAAGAGAACAGAGGATAAGTTGTCTACAAACGGCTTAGAGCTCTTGAAACAGCCTTGGCTGCAGAACAATGCTGTCAGGAAAGCCTATCCGGTACGTATTTTGTTTTAATTCTTCCGAACACTTGCGCCTGGTCAACTAACGTCACTCTAAAGGCATCCCTCGATATTGAAGCATCAGTACACGATAATAGTCTCGACATTGGTGTATTTGGATCTACAGATAGTGTGTCTTATGATGATGGTCCGCGAATCGTGGATAACATAATTCAGCATCTTGCAAGCGTGAGGTCATCATAGGAGGGATTTGCAGCATTAGGGTATGTATGCGAGGGATTTCGAAAGTAAACTCTTGGACATATATTGTTTATATTGCTTGCCTTAAAATATTATTCACATCAATCGTTAGATAGGCAAAAAGTCGTTGGGGAAAAAAAGGATAGGTGTCTTAATATGGGAAAAGGATTAAGGTTGGCAATTCTGACTACTTCTTTCGCTGTAGGTGTTTCAATTTATGAATCCTCTATTTGCTCAGATGGTACAAAGGCATCTTCATCGTCTGGTTCCAAGGCTGGAGTCCCATGGCTCGTAATGCCGGTGCACCGCCTAATTCTGCAATTTCCTTCTCACTGGGCATAACATTGGTGTCTTCAGTCACAGCGCCTCGCCCAGAAGAGTCGAAGTCAGGGCCTGGTTGTCCACGTCGGAATGCTTTTCGTTAGCGTGCAAGATACAAAGCATTCGTTTGGGTGAGAGGGGCTGCAGGGATATATACCAACATACTAATGTCATCTGCCCCGGGAGTGCTAGGAGTGTGGAGTCCATGGCAACTATTACTAGATATATGATATGGAAGGTCAGGGTGCCAAAGTATGTAGTCACCTGGTTGTCAAGTTGGTAGAGTGATTAATACACTTCGTAGATAAAGGTGTGGTGCCACCGCTCGGTCAGCCTCTGCGCATGGCCAGGTACAGCACCGTGTATAGTTGTGTCCAGGTCGTGTTGAACATCCCAGTTGCTAGCATCAAGATAAGCGTCCTATTCTGCCCCAGATCGTCTATCTGGCGCTGGATTCTTTGGAGCGAAGAAGGGCTGAGGAGGTAATAAGCAGTTGCAAGTTTGGGCGATGGCAAAAGCCTCAGCATGCCCGGCTCGATTGTAGAGGGCGCTAGGAGGCCTTGGAACATCCTGAATATGGTACAAGCACCATAACCGTTGTATAAATCCATGGTTGAAGATGCGCGTCCGGTACATTCCCAGGGATCATACTCCTCCCACTTGCCTTGAAACACTTGATGATATGTTTGGCTGCGACGGTAGCCGTCCGGTTCCCATCTTTCTAGTGATCCATTATCAACTTGAGCAATTATCTCTGCAGCTGATTGCAGGGCGGTTATCCAATCATCTGCAGCCTCTGAGGCGAGAAGCTGACTGCAGTTGCTGTTGCGGCTCTCGAGGGCATGATTGCGAACGCGGCCAAGCGAAGTTTGACTCTGGGTTGGATGATGTTGTATTAGACATATTTAGAGATCCAATGCCGCTAGTATCAGCATCAAAGCCACCACCATACACTCGTAGTCGATCAACGTATGTAATGGGGAATCAGGTTCCCAGGCGTCCATCTGGCTATGCTTTCCACAGGCCCATCATGAACTTTTGCACACAGAGAACGTTTGGGTGAGCTCAACATCGTACCTGTGCCGGTGTCCAGAAGCAGTCAAAGCATGTTGGATCCTGCTTAGGCGCCCGGAAATGAGGCAGAAGCGGCGGCTTTGGTTCTTGGTTGCCATTGACAGATTCTGGCTCGGGCTGCCCAGTGCCATATCTCTTCCTTCTACCTTCTAAATACTGGGAATCAACCACCGGGCGAGGAATAACTTTGCGAACGACGCCAACACCATAGCGGCGCAGGGATAAGTTGAGCCCACGATGCTTCAAGTTCCGCTTCATGGCCCGCAATCAAGCTCTTTTGGAAAATCTCTGTGGCAAGGAAACGGTATCAGAGCCCCAAAGCGATAGCACTGGGGGCTTCATGCTTTCCAGAGACGTGGTCGAAGAAGACGATGCCGCTTTGGCAAGCTGGTCAGTGTAAGGCGACATAGACGCCTGATGTTGGCGGGTACGCGCTGCGGAAAACGACCTACCCTAACGGTGGTTGGAGAGTTGATTCCATTAGCGATATAGGGCTGGCTTTGGGGTCTGGTATGAGATCCGTCATAGGGTCGGGCATCAAGGTCAGCCTCGCTGTGGGTGTGAGGATGGCGTTGGGAGTCACCGTCACAGTCATTGTCAAGATGGAGTTGGCCATCGAAGTCCAGATTGTGTTGCTGACTGGACCTCAAGTTGGAATCAGCCACGCTGGAGCGGCAATCGCTCCTGCTTCACGAATCTTCATGGGCCCCACAACAGCCCTCTCAGCTTGTGATGGCCGGATTATTCAAGCCAGTAATCCAATTCCGATCTATTCAATGTTGAAACTTTTCCATTTTGTCTCCTGCGGCGACTCATCGTCTCCCTTTGCCCGACAGGCAATGACTGTCACTGTTGTTAGCTGAGGCCCCGCTGCTCCTCCGTCGGCGTCTCGCCCCTGTCATATGGAGACGAAGGGTCGAGGGCCAGTCAGCTGGCAAGGCAACAGATCGCTGCAACCGCTCTACATACCAGTAAACAGACTGCAATCCTCGTCTTTAGTTTGCTACAGCCTCCAGATGTCGCTATATTCTTTCCTGGAAGCAACACGAAGGAGGTGACAGGTGACAGCAGTATGCCCCCCGCCTCCCCCCGATATTTAACAACTTGGCCTTAGAGGGCGCAGCCCATCATTTATGGTACCATTTATCTGGATACTCCTTGGTGTTCAAGGGAATGTTCAGTACGACTCAACCCTCGTGGACCAAGAAGCTGCCAACCAATCAAATACACCGGGGAATCGCGCATTATGTTGTTCGGGCAAAAACCAATCCTAGTTGCGTTTGTTCGGCCCTTGATTCCGTCAATTTTGACCCCGCCTTTGTTACGATGTCCCATGTCATTGGAATCATACATACACCTGAATGAGACAACCGCTGCATAAGCAATATCAGAAACGTTGCTATCCGCTCAGCAATTAACTACCGCAATCCACAATTAGGGAAAAAGAAAATTGCTTCATACAGATTCCTTCATGCATTCCTGTCATATATACGATTCATTTGGACTTCAGATATTATCCTACAACGCCCAGTGCCAAGTGGTTTCAACACTAGAAAAGCAAGCCAAATATTGCGCAATCCATACAGGTGGGCAATTCCCTTGTCGTAAAAAATTGTACATATCATGAAACGCTTACAGCGCTTGCGCTTCTTACAGTCACACCTTCACTGCCCATTCATGCTCGAATACAAGGGCTCGCCTTACAACCTAGCCGGCTTGTTGTCGGGCTTCCATCCTTCCTCGGAAGCAATCAATTCGGCAGCACGCTCACCAATGGACAGGACAGTGATCATGGGGTTGATTGTAGGCATCTCAGGGAAAATACCGGCGTCAGCAATACGCAGGTTCTTGATCCCACGGACCTTGAGCTCGGGGTCAACCACAGCAAAATCATCCTTGCTAATATCGCCCATCTTGGTAGTACCTGCGGGGTGATAGACAGTGTGGGCAACACGACGAGCATATTCGCTAATCTCCTCATCAGTTTGGACCTTGGGGCCAGGGGCCACCTCCTCCTTGAGCCACTCCTTGAACGGGCTCTGCTGCGCAATCTTTCTGGCGGCCTTAATACCCGCAACCAGCGTCGCAGCATCATAGCCTTCAGGGTCGGTAAAGTAGCGGAAGTCGAGAGCAGGCTTGATAGCGGGATCGGCTGAGGTGAGGAAGACGCGGCCACGGGAGCGGGCACGAGGAATGTTGGGTGTCATGCAGAAAGCGTAACCGTCTTTGATGATAGGATAACCCAAGCGCGCTGTGTTGAGGCAGAATGGGATCTGGTAGCAGTGCATCATGATGTCAGCGGCATCGCCATCGTTACCGGCGGCATTGGTGGCCTCACGACGGAGGAAGACGCCGGCATCCGAGTCCATGGTGGTCTGGTTTGGCGGCACAGGCTTCTTGAGCTCCCACATGATAATGGTTTCGGGATGGTCAATCAAGTTCTCACCAACACCCGGAATGTCCTTGACAACATCGAGACCCAAACTCTCCAGCTGGGCACGAGGTCCCAAGCCGGAATGAAGCATGAGGCGTGGGGTATCAATGGCACCGGCTGAAAGAATGATTTCCTTGCGGGGCTTAAGGAGGATCTTCTGGCCATTTGAAATAATTGACACACCGGTAGCAATATCATTCTCGACGACAATCTTATTGACCCATGCCTTGGTCAGAACAGTCAAGTTGGGGCGGCGCTCTTCGCCCCGCAGGATAGGGTGGATATAGGCAACAGAGGCGCTGCTGCGATAGCCGTTGTCCGGGTTGTAGGAGATGGAGAAGAAGCCGGCACCCTGAGTGAGCTGGCCCTTGGTGCGAATCTCTTCGTTGAAGTCGGGTATGATGGGGATGTCGAAAGCGTCGGAGCAGGCCTTGACCCAGTCCTTGCAGAGCTGGTTGCGGTGGCGAGCGTGGACAGGCTGGAAGGTATTGCGCAAGTTGTCGGCATGGCGCATCATGTTTTCAAAAGTCCAGCCTTTGCAGCCCTGTTCAACCCAGCGGTCCATATCATGGCGGAAGGGTCGGAAAGAGATCAAGGTGTTGTGGGAGGAGCAGCCGCCGAGGACCTTGGCGCGAGAATGACGGATGTGGGAGTTGCCCATGGGCTGCTCAACAGTGCCGTAGTCATAGTCGAGATCACCACCGAGCAAAGAAAGCCACTGGCGAAGATCAAGAACATGATTGAGGTTGAAATCAGAAGGACCGGCCTCAATCAGAAGCACCTTGCGCTCGGGAAGGTAGCTGGAGAGACGAGAGGCGATGACACAGCCAGCAGTGCCACCACCAACAATGATGTAGTCGTAGGAGGATTCGGATCCCTGGGGAAGAATTTGAGTCGTCATTTTGGCTTGATTGAGCTTGTTGTGACCGTTCAAGCTAACAGGAACCTCAATTGTAGCTCTGGAAGGGTCAGGTCAAGCTTGGGATGAGGTTGGGACGACGAGTGTAAGTCGCGATGTCCTGCACCTGTGGACCTGCTTTAATGATTGGGCTTAGCAGTCTTGCGAGTTGACTCTTTTGAGTAAAGAGGACGGGAGATGGGACAAGGCAGGTTTGGGCAGAAGTGAAGAGCACAAAAGTAGGAAGAGAGCGGACGAGGCAGATTTAAGTTGAGTTGCAAGCCACTGTTCGCATAGCTCGGCATCACACGACGGGAGGGGGACCCTGGGGTTCTTGGCTTCTTCTAGCACATTTTTTTCTCTTCTCTTGTTTCCAGTTGTTGGTCCATGAAGTACAGTGGACCTCCGAGCCGGCGGACAACATTCGCGAAGGCCAGCGCATAGAACCGACTCAGGCAAAATGGACAGCGCCGGGGCAAAAAAGTATCTTCACCCACGGTTGGACCAGTGAGAAGGCAGGTTATCCCCAAAAAATTCGGGGGGCCATGAAGGCGGGTGGATGATGACCAGGGCAGCCCGAAAGCCGTGTGCTGATGCTAGACGCAGACTGTCTCGGACGGATAAAGCTTGGTGACGCAACACCGTATGATGAAAGTGCATGGGTTGAGCAGCCGTGCAGCGTGGAGAGGGGCGAGCAAAGGGCGGGACTATGTACAGGAGGCTTGCAAGCCTGGCGACATGAGCCAGTGGAGGAGCCAAGATCCATTCGACGGAAAGGAGGCTTTGATGGACCGCCACAAAAGGCCGATAGCCTGATACCACGCTGCACAATGTTCTGCGCAGACTGGCATTCCGAATCCATTGAGCTATTGGGTACCGAAGGAACAGCTCCAGTCTTTGGTAATAGGACAGAGTTGATTTGATGGAACACCGCGGGATGCATGTATTGGCATGTCGTCTTTAGGGTACTGGCAGACATGGCGCAGGTCCTGGTGGTTTAGATTCTGGCAGTGGGTGGATGAGACGCCAATAGCATTGGCTGGAAATTCAAAGTATCAATTGATGTTTCATATGTTTGGCCGTTTAGTTACATCGCAACACAAATCGAAAGCGCCGAGAAGACCAGGACCAGGACCTCCCCTCCCCTCCCCCAAAGGCGCGGGGTTTTTTATTGAACGAACAACATTGACCAGCGGCCATCTGGTGACGGACTTTTATTCTTTCCTCCGATCATTGAGGGCACAACCTATGACTTATTAGACAGCCAACACAACTTACACCAAGAAGCATGGGGTGAAACGGAACACAGTGGTGCCGCCCCATTCATTCTGTTGCCCCTTCTCAGAACCATGGCATTGTGAGCAACATGGTCAACGTGAGGGGGAGGCGGCGCCACTGAAGACTACTCGACTCTGGTCCCTTGAAGCTCATAAGGAAGGGCCATGGATAGTTGACCAGAAATATCAATATTTCTGCGCCGAAAGACGGCATTCGGTGTGTGCACGGAGTCTTTGAAGCGTCGTCTCCAAACGAGGGGCTGCCAGACGAATCGGAGGGTGGCAGTTGTTCGAGTGGCTAGTGTCCAATTACAAACGCAGACAAGCTGATGACAATATTCCTTGGACTCAACCTACACGGTAGGATCGCTACACTTTGTCTTCTTTCTTAAATGGCTTGAATCACAACAACGTTTACAACATCATGCCATGCAAAATCTGTCGCTTCGACGGACCGCAAACGGGCAACCAAATCTACATACCAAGAAATAATGACGTCGTTGTGCCCCTCTCTTCCCCACCAAGTCCGACGAAGTAGAAACGCAAAACGAAAAATTAAAAGAAGAAAAATAGACTCGAGACAGCTGGCTTCACCGCCCAGAGAGTGGATGTTGTCGTTGTCGGCACAATTCACAATTCGTAACAGGAT